TCCCTGATGGACCTGGATTGTAAACATCTTTCTAGACCTTTGCATCTCCACCCTACCGCTTATGACCTTGAGCTCCAAAAGGGCAGGACTGGGCAGCTTTATTCATCTTTGTCCCCCAGCCCCTAGCACACTGTCCAGCACGTGGCAGGGAAATGCTTTGGTGCCTGCCGGGCAGTGTCTGTGTACTCAGGGCTTGCTGACCTGCTGTGCTATCGGCCAGAGACAACCGATAAAGGCAGGCAAACAGCCCTCCCCCAAATCACACACTTGCTAGCCTGCTTCACCCTTGCCCTAGCTTTTCCCGCCACTCCTAATTTGCACCTTAAATTTCCTTGAGAAGAAAGCCAGGTGTGTGGGGAAAAAAAAAAACCCCCCCACACACACCATCACCAAAGAACAACAGATACTTTTAAATAGCCCCAATTGTGCCTGCTTTCACACTGTTTCCCTCCCCATTCCCCACATGTGCAGGTGACAGAGTTGTAGGTGCTCATAGTTTAAATGATTGGTGTTATGAGGAAGTTCACACATCAGGCACTGAGAAAATTGAGCTAGGTCTAGAGAGGGCTCCTCCAAAAAGGTGGCGGGGAAGAGGGAATTCAGCAGACAGTTCTTGCCTGCCCTAAGCCGCATAATCTCCGCCTGTGGGTGGAGAATCCCAAAAACTGTGATTCTAGGATGCAGCCAGATTTGGGAGGCCCTGCCATAGGCCCAGGCTGGGCTCACCACTTCCTTCAGGCCAGCCCAAAGACAGAAGAAAAAAGTAGGCTGGTCCATTTCTTCCTGCTCCTCTACACTTGATGAAGGAAGATCTCTGCTTCACCCCGCTGTCCTGAAGTACTTGGCAAAACACGTTATACCCCATATGTTCATCCAGAGACACACACAGAGGCTGCCCTGCACACTGACATGCCCACAGGCACACCTGCTGATGTGGCCCAGACAGTGGGTATGCACACAGCACACACACACACACACACACACACGCTCCAGGCTCTCTCTGATCCTGCACAAACCATCTGCTCTCTATGGCCTGTATGCTTTCTGTTAAACTCACAGACCTCAGGCCAGGCGCAATGGCTCACGCCTATAATCCCAGCACTTTGGGAGGCTGAGGCAGGTGGATCACCTGAGGTCAGGAGTTCGAGACCAGCCTCAACATGGAGAAACTCCGTCTCTACTAAAAATACAAAATTAGCCAGGCGTGGTGGTGCATGCCTGTAATCCCAGCTACTCGGGAGGCTGAGGCAGGAGAATTGCTTGAACTTGGGAGGCGGAGGTTGTGGTGAGCCGAGATCACGCCATTGCACTCCAGCCTGGGCAACAAGAGCCAAACTCCGTCTCAAAAAAAAAAAAAAACCTCACAGACCTCAGACGGAATGGCTCAGAGCTCAGATCTCGGAACGAACTGCCTGGGTTCAAGTTCTGGTGCTAACACTTACCAGCTGGTGCTCACCAGCTGGGCTAAAAACTTTGCTTCTATGAATCTTAGTTTTCTTACTTTTAAAATCAAGATTCCCTCTTCATAGTGTTGTTGTGAGGAATATACATATAAACATGAAAGTGCTTAGGACGGTGCTAACTATTGTTGTCATTATTAGAATTATTACTCCAATTGTTATCATCAATAGAAATGCTTTGACATTCTAGGCATCTGTGGTTCTGTACACACTTGCAGACCTGCTGCATATTCTACACAAATGCAGTAACATGTGCACCCACCTGCAGGCACATACATATGGACACATCCATCCACCAGTGCACGGCTCGAGCTCCACTGACACAAACACACATGCGCAGGGGCAGAATGCTAACCAACCTTGATTCTGTACACTGTGGGGAACCTGAGACGCACAAACACCTCACCCCCAAAGACACACACAGCTCATCTCTTGCTGACACAGGTAGTGCCTGTCCCTGTCACAAGCAGGACCCAAGCCCAAGACTGACTGATTATAGAATCGGCCTGTGCTTCCCCATCCCACCAAATCTCTCTCTCCCCACCCTCTTGGCCAGAATTCCCCAAAGTGAGGATAAGTCCCAGGACATAGGTAGGAATCTGCAGGTAAGAAAAACTTTAGAGATGAACTTCAGAAGAACCTCAGCTCCCTCACCTGGAGACCCAGAAAGAGACACTGACTGGCCCTCAGTCACTGGGAAGGGAACGGCAGAGCCAGGTCCAGACCTCGGTCTCCTGACTTTAATTCTGGGCTTTCTCTCTTGACACTGTCTGTCACCCTCCCTAGACTCTGCACTTTCTGCGGGTACAACCTATTGTGCAAGTCGCCTCTGATGCCTGTGGTACATGGTACACAGTAAATGCTCAGTGAGTGTGGATGAATGAATGGGAGTGGAGCAAGGACCCCAAACACATTTTGCTCCCCCTCCTGCTGACTGGTGCTGGATGTGGTGGGATCAATGGCTAGTTACAACACAGTGGTACCAGCCCGCGTGACTGCCAGGTCTGCCAGGGCTGTGCCTCCAACTCAGGCCAGCTAGGGCCTCTCTGGGTGAGGACTCACGGGCCCCACTTTTTGAGCCCCCAGTTTCCAGTGTCCAGGCAAGGCCGGGATGCATATTCCCCAGGACCACAGCTCAGAGGTCCTTTCTTCTAGAAGGGACTTCTAGATAAGATGGGGTCTGAATGCAATCCTGCCCACAGCTGCTTTTCCCAGGGCACCCATGTGATCCCAAGCAAGGCCTCCCGATCTGAGCAAGTGGTAGAACTGGCCCCTGGCCCAACACCTGGGCACCTCCCAGAGCCACCAAGAGTGTACGCCCCCAACGTGGGACCACTATGTGGAACGCGGCGCAGCCCCTGAGCCCCTTCCGGCATCCCCTCCATGACTCTCTCCAGCCCCTCTGCGGGTTCATGGACCCCATTTGGCACACAGTGCTAGAGTTTTCCTCCATTTCCCAGGTCAGAGGTCAGCCTCTGTCCCACAAGCGAAGCCTGGCCAGGTCAGTGGCTGTCTGCCTATTCTGACACCCTGTCCTGGTCAGAAGAAAATAACCCAAATAGCATGAGACATTTGCAATTTGGCCATCATCTGGCCCCTCCCTGCCCTTGCAGCCTTGTTCCTCAGTCCTCCCACACAAGGAGGTGCCATTGCAGCCAGACTGGGCCCTTCCAGGGCACCCAACACACCTGTCCCTGTGCTCAACTATAGTCTCTCTCGCCTTGGCTCCACTTCTCCCCATGGCCATCCACCTGGCTCTCAGAGCTCACCTCCTCCATGAAACCTGCCCTGATCATGGAAACCCCTTCCCAGTCCTCCCCGCTGCCCTCCAGACATCTCCTGCCCTGATTTCGGGGACCTTCTCCCCCATGCTCCTCCCATGCTCCGACCTCTCCCTCTCACTCATCATGCAGAGCTCTTTCTCCTCTCATTCCCCCTAGATGTGAGCACCTCTCAGCTTCCACTCTCACTTTTGGGTTCCACACCCTGTACAGTCCTCTTGGGTAACATCACCCATTCCCATGGTTTCCCAAACCCTGAAATCTGTATTTCCAGCTGCGATCCCACTCCTGAGCCTCAGGTACCTACACATGGAAATCCCTTAGATTCCATGAGGTCATTGTATTTTTTATTTTATTTTATTTTATTGTTTTTCTTTGTTTTTTGTTTTTTGTTTGTGAGACGGAGTCTCGCTCTGTCGCCCCGGCTGGAGTGCAGTGGCACGATATTGGCTCACTGCAAGCTCTGCCTCCCGAGTTCACGCCATTCTCCTGCCTCAGCCTCCCGAGTAACTGGGACTACAGGCGCCTGCTACCACACCCAGCTAATTTTTTGTATTTTTAATAGAGACGGGGTTTCACCATGTTAGCCAGGATGGTCTCGATCTCCTGACCTTGTGACCCACCCACCTCGGCCTCCCAAAGTGCTGGGATCACAGGCATGAGCCACCGAGCCTGGCCTATTTTATTTTATTTTATTTTTATTTTTATTTTATTTTATTTTATTTTGAGTCAGGGTCTCACTCTGTCACCCAGGCTGGAGTGCAATGGCACAATCTTGGCTCACTGCAACCTCTGCCTCCTGGGTTCAAGCAATTCTCGTGCCTCAGCCTCCCAAGTAGCTGGGATTACAGGCAGGCACCACCACACCCGGCTAATTTTTTGTGTTTTTAGTAAAGATGGGGTTTCACCATGTTGGCCAGGCTGGTCTCGAACTCCTGACCTCAGGTGATCTGCCCACCTTGGCCTCCCAAAGTGCTGGGATTACAGGCGTGAGTCACTGCACTGATCAGTTCATTGTATTTAAATCCAAATTCTCACTCCCTTCAAAACCACTCAGAGCATCAGCCGAGACACGAGAAGCCCTGGCCCCCACTCCATCACAGGCCTCTTGGCCTATCCCCAACACCCTTAGCACTATCCACCTTGCCCCGCATCCACAGCCCCACCCCAGCCCAAGCCACCGGGGCACTCTTTTGCCACTGTCTGCCACGTGGCCTGCCTGCATCTCGTTTCATGCCATTTCAATCCATTTTCCACACAGCAGCCCAAGGATCATTCAACAGTACCAATGTAATCATGTTTCACTCCTTTTTAAAAGCCTTCAGTGGCTCACCAAACCTGCAGCATCAAGCCCCGACCCCCTAGCGTAGCCCTGAAGGCCCTCTGTGGCGGGGCCCAGGGCTGACCTCGCAGCCTTGGCTGCTGCAGTGTGCCATCAGCTCAGTGCTCTCAGATCGCCCCCTCCCGGCCTGTGCAAAACACTGTACCCGTGGCCTGCGAGGCCCTTCTCCCGCCTTGTCACTTGGCTTAATTGCTCACAGTGCCAGACTCAACTCAGAACTGAGAGGGCACTTCCTCTGGGGAGCCTTGTCTGCCCCCCAAACATGGTTTCAGACCCTTAAGCCTGTCTACCTCCATCACGGCCCTGTGACTGCTGGGTTACTGGTCAGTAGTGCCAGCACATGTGGAGCACCCCAGGCCTACACACCAGGACTCTGGGCGTCTGGAGATGGGGAGTGGGGTACAAGCCCAACCTTACCTGTCTCTGTGGGCCTGTGGGGTCCGACTCTCTCCGTCGAGGGCGGGGTCCCGAGTGCAGGGGTGAGTGGGAAGGGCTGCCAGGCGTGGGGGGCTGTGACGTCTCGGAACGGCCATCGGCCTGGCTCAGCTGGGGTGGCAGGGGCTGGGGCGGCAAATGCTGCAGGTCCTCCTCGGCCAGCACCTGCATGCTGCGTCCCCGGGGCCGGACAGTGGGCTCTGCCCCCAGCCGCCGCCGCTCTTCGCCCTCCTCGGGCAATGGCCGCAGCTCCTCCGGCTCCTCGTCCGTGGTGCCCGACGTGCTGGGTTCAGCCCCCGGAGGGAAGTCCTTGAGCTCCGTCTCCTTGTCAATGATGACCCACTCTTTGCTGTCGAAGTCCTCCTCCTCAGCCAGCGGCACCGAGCGGAAGGCATTGCTTAGGGCCTCCTGCTCCACAGAGGCTGACACGTCCATGCGGCCACTGGCCTGCCGGTCAGCGTGGCCTGTGTCCACTGACAGCATCTGGGCTGGCTGAGAGGAGCAGGCCTGGCGCGAGGGCGAGCCAGGCAGATCCATCCGTGACCTGCAAAGCCACCCCTCATGGGGCTCAATGCCCAGCCCCACTGGACCCCCAAGAACCCCATGCCAGTGGCAGGGTGGGGTGTGACTCCCAAAACCTGACCGCAGTACCCCTCCCACCTTGGGCCAGGCCAGTTACCTCTAGGTTGTCACCCTCCAACCTCACTTCCTATCAAGGCTTTGTTAGTTCGTTTGTTAGTTCATTCATTCATTCATTCATTCATTCAACAAATGTTTTTGAATGCTTACCGTGCTCCAGGAATACAAACAAGCAGAAAATAAACTCGGGTTTCTGTGCAAGGAACGTTCTCTCCTGGGCCACCCTAGGGAAGCTAATCTTCCTCAGGCAAGCTTTGTTCTTGCCTCTCCAGTGCTCACAACCAGTGGTTGCTTCCTGCTGCTTCCAGGCAAACACACCCAACTGGCCCTTGAGTTTACAGAGGGCTTTCCAGCCTCTTCTGCCACTACCCTCCAGGCCTGCCTGGCTGGTTTCATCACTCCCAAGATGGCCTTGTTAGTCCCAGCTCAACAAACTCCAGTGACTCCCCAGCCCCAACAACAAAGTCCACACTCCTTGGTCTATACTCTAGGCCTCTCACAGCCTGACTACGGCTGTCTCCCCATTTCCCTCGCCAGCCCCATCTTAGATTCCACCCTTACGGCCCACCCGGAACGTGGCCTCTCCCCATAGGACCTCTCCCCACACACAGCCTGTCCTTCTACCCTTTGCTGGCTGATACAGGTTGGTTGTTGCCTTGGGCAGGTAGCCTGCCTTTCCCATCCTGCAAGGATTAGTGCTTTGTATCTCTCTCTCATCACAGGGTGAACCTCATGTCTGTTCACAATCTGTCTCCCCAAGAGACTGTGAGCTCTGCTGGGCAGGGCCTGGGTCCCATCTGACTTTACCCCAAGGGCATTGATCCTGTCTTGGGACATCTCTTCTGTCATTATCTTTTCTTTTTTTCCTTTGAGACGGAATCTCTGTCACCCAGACTGGAGTACAGTAGCATGATCTTGGCTCACTGTAACTTCTACCTCCCAGGTTCAAGCTATTCTCCTGCCTCAGCCTCCTGAGGCTTACAGGTGCACACCACCACACCCTGCTAATTTTTGTATTTTTAGTAGAGACGGGGTTTCACCATTTTGGCCAGGCTGGTCTCAAACTCCTGACCTCAGGTGATCCACCCGCCTCGGCCTCCCAAAGTGCTGGGATTACAAGCGTGAGCCACTGTGCCCGGCCTCATTATCTTGAACTGTGTCGTGAATCTCACATTACTTTCAGAGCTTCTCAACTTGGGGCCATGCCAACCCCAAGAGGAGGATATTTCTGGTTGTACAATAGTGTGTGGGAGGATGCTCCACAAGGAAGAATTGCCCTCTCCCAAATGCCAGGGTACCCACTGAGAACCACCACGGAGGCCTAACCTATCTTGGGTTTGTGCCACTGCCTCATGTTCAGGCTGTGGGCAGGGGGCTGACTTTCTTTCTCCCCCAGCATCGAGCCTATGGTTCAATGGCTCTTCAGCTGCAGAGGCAGGGGTGCAGATCAGAACCGCCTGTGGGGCTTTCTCAAAATACTCCTGCCCCAGCCTGCGTGGGACCTGCCCAATCTGACTGTGCACAATATTTTTATTGACTTGTTAATAAAGACTTAAATAAAACATCCCTGAGAGAGGCCACCTAGGGTCTTATATTTATGCTCTCATGTAAATGGCTGATATCATTTCCTTTCTGAGGCACAGTTTGTTTTGATGGATGTAAAGGGGAGAAAGGGTGCCAAAGAAGGCTCAGGGCTAGTAGTGCTTGTGTGTGTGTGTGTGTGCACGCGCGTGTGTGTTTGCATGTGTGTGCCTAGTGGGAGCTCAGACGAACAGTTGGAGACAGGAGGCAGTGGGGTGGGAAATCCGAATCCCAACTGCTTTGTACTGTCTCCTGCTCCCAAGTGCCCCAGAGCCCCAGAGCCCCAGAGCCCATCCAGAACCTCTGCTGTCTATGATATCCTGTTCAGCCCTCAACTTTCCCTACCATCCCTGCAACTGGGGTTCACTGTGAGCCAAACCAATTTGCTTCTTGTTCCCTAAAAGCAGGCAGCCCTTCAGGACTGTCTCATTCAAGGTATTTCCCACCTCTCTTCTCCATTTATATCCCTTCCCAAACTGCCTTTCCTCATTTCTCCGTCTCCAGGGAGAGGGACTCCAGGCTACCACAGACGAAAAGGGTGGTCTTCAGTCCCAGGTAAGCTAACCTGTGTGAGTGTGTAAGGACTGAGTTTGCTCACAAGGAGACACATGGAGTGGATGCCAGAAAGGATACCCCTCTTATCCCCAGGACGGGGTCTTTGGAAGAGACCCCTTTTCTGGTGCAGAGAAGGCCCCAGTCCTACTGCGGAGTGAAGCCCCACTCAGAGGCCAAGGGAAGGTGGAAACATCTCTCAGGGGCCTCCCCACCTGATGTTGTCCCACCCACCACCAGTGCAGGTGGGGACCGGGCCCTGGCCCATGTTGTCCACCCACCATCTGGGGTCAACAGATCACTCTCCCACCCTCCCACCTTCCCCTCCCAAAGGCTCACCTAGCTTCTAAATGCTCCTTTTCCCCAACTACATTCCCCCTGGTCCCCTCCCCTCTATGACTTCAGATCCCTCAGCCCTAACCCCCAAAACTTGCCCTGCCCTCTCTTCCAGCAATTCCCAGGCCCTCTCCCCCAAAGCTGAAGACAGTCTACCTCGGCTGCACTTGAAGCATCTATAATTAGTCTCTAGAAGAGGTTCTGGAAGCACACACACCTACCAACCAACTCACCCCTCACCCTTCCTGGGCCCAGGCACCCAGCCTGTCCCTCCTGCAGCCTGCACTCCCCCAATTCCCTTTCCTGGCATGAGCTGGGACCTCTCTGGATCCCCTACTGGCTTTCCCAGGCCCTGTCTCTGGCCCCAACTGAGTCTGACCCCAGGCCCACGCATAACCCTCTCAGCACTTCCCAGGGTCTGCCCACCTCCGCCACACATCTGACTTTTCCTCCAGACCAGCCATGTGAAGGCGGAGGGGGCCTTGGGCCCCAACCATGCCCCTGGTCCCAGACCCACCTCCTCTCAGGTAGTTCCACTCGCCCGTCCGCCGTGGACAGCCTCTCTGACTCAGGGCTGTTCACCCTCCGGTAGCGCAGAGAACGGACTGGGGTTGTGGGGGAGTCTGGGGGTGCACGCACGGGGGAGCTGGGGACCCCCATGCCTCGGCTCTGTTCCTCCTCCACACAGGGGCTCTGCAGGAGAGGGGAGTGTCATGAGCTGGGGTTGATGAGGCAACTGTGGGCGAATGGTCTCCTCAGGGTAAAGGAGACAGAGGATGATGATGATGGGAGATGCAGGGAGGCTAGGGCGGGAAGGGACCGGGAAACAGAGGCAGGACAAGCAGGCAGATGGTTGGGGACAGGGTGCTCAGGAGGAACAGGGCGGGGACCCAAGGCTGGGAATCGGGGTAAGAGAAAAGGCCACCCACGCCCTTCGCCCTGGCTGCAGTTACTTTGCCAATGTTGATCCGGAGTTTGTTCCGGTTGACATCTGTCTCCTCCCAGACTTCAGCCTCAGGACCCCCGGGGTGGGGGACAAAGTGGGGACTGGGGCCCAGCCCCTCAGAGGGCCTCCCGGGCAGAATTGGGGGTGCATTCTCCTGGTCACTCAGGTGCTCTCCCTGTAGCACATCCTCGGTGTTCTCCCGGAGCAGGTCCCCGGGCACTGGCGTCACATTGACCACCCTGGAGAGGACAGGAGGGAGCCATGAGCAAGGCTGGTAGGGGTGCCCTCTCCTCCCATGGCCCTCTCCTACCAGCACAGACCTGGAGACCACCCCTAGGAGCAGGCACAGAGGCGGTCCCGTCAGGGGTAAGAGTGTCCCTAGACCCATCACCATTGCTGGCCCACAAAGCCTCTGAGACCAGACCACCCTCAAGTTGGCAGGGGCCGCAAGGAGATGTTGCCATCTAGCTCTGTGGCTTAGTGGATCCTACTGTCGTTCAAGAACCTGCCAGATTTCCATTGGCATTCACTGTCCGGCTTCCTCCTTTAGACCCAGGAATGGGTCTAAAAAGGAGAATCACTTTGGAGTTCCTTTTAAAATTAGTTTTCTTTTATTACTATTTTGCAGTCTGGGAGCATAGATGGAAGTTGCCCTTGAATATACACTTAAATTTTTTTTTATTTAATCTTCTTTGATGATTAAACTTTAGAGTTCTTTAAGCAATGTCTGGGCACCGTAATGTGCTACCACGTCCTGTTAAGTCTCCTCCCTAAACATGTCCCCTGAAGCCCCTGCCCACTTCTCTCCTTGGCTCGCTCCTGGGGCTGGGTGGAGAGCCCCTTCTAACTCCAGCTCCTCCCTGGACCACCTGTGTCTTTGTGCCCATTACATGGTTCTGAAATTGCTGACCCATCGATTTCAAACATCCCAGACTCAGCTGAGAGTGCTTTGAGGAAAGGAGCTGTAACTTTCAGGGGTATGGCCTCAAGACACGGCCGTTAAATTCATGCATATGCATGATAAGAAAGAGATAAACTGTGGGCCTCAGTTAATTTCACTTGGGGTTCCCTGCTCTCCCAGGGACCCACTGAGGAAGACACCCACTATATGATCAGATTGAGGGTGGAGATGTGGCAGAGTTTCCCGAAGTCCCGAACTCCACTAAGGATAGGAAAGACAGCCAAGCGAGTCCAGGTAGGAAGACAGGAGAGGAGAGGACCGCCTGCCCTCTTAGGTAACAGCTCCAGGCAGTGGCTGGTGGCTCCCCTTCCTGAGACTCACCCAAACATGGCTGCCGTCTGCCGGGTGTTCTGCTGGGGTGGGGTAGAGGTGCTCGTGGACAGGAGGGCATCGGTGCCTGCCTTCTCCCAGTCAAAGGCCTCATTCTCAGCAATGCCCCGTTCCTTCATGCTGTTCTCAAACACCGACATGATCAACTGCAGGGGGTGAGGGTGGTGGGAGGACAAAGAGGTGACCTGGGGGCTAGCCAGGAGGAAGGGGCAATTGCTGGGATCATAGGGGGGAGACAGGAACCTTCCAGGACAGGAATGGGCCTGGAGGGGGCATTGGAAGGAGAAGGGCACATTGATTTTAAATGAAAACATGCACATGATATGCAAATCAACATGCAAATTATCATCTTGGATTAAGCCCCACTGACTGGACATGAACCCTCTGAGATCTGTCCCCTGGTTACCATCTCCAAACCTCCTCTGCCATTTCCAGCATGTCGGCAACCCTAAACCACTGGGAGTTCCCAAACCCACGCATGGGTGCTGCCTCTACACAGACTGCCCCTCTGCTGGGGCGCCTCTCCCACTCATCCTCTCCTCTCTGCAGCTTCCCTTCTCTTCACCATATATTCTCTCCACCATACAGCTGCCCTACAGGGCACAGTGCATCCGTTTGAATTGTCCACATGCCTATCTGTCAACTCTACATCCCCGGCAGCCAGCACAGGGCCCCAGCCTAGGGGGTGCTTGCAGCTGTGTGGCCTTGGGGATCCCATGAGGCTAAGCCAAGATCAGGGGGCATCTCTGCGAAGCGCTGGGTTCAGGAGGTGGCAGACAGCTATAGACCCTCTGAGGTCCCCAGAACACTCCACTTCTGGCTTGGCTGTCTCCAGAGCACAAGGCAGGTTCTCTCTGCTGACAGGACCCGCTTGATTGTGTGCGTCCTGTGTGCCTGAGGCTGTCTCTGCTCCCACAGTGCGCAGCAGCGTGCCTGGTACGTAGTGGATCCCAGGCAGAACACTGCTGATGTTTTCCCCATTCTGTGATCAGGGTCAATGGGTCCCATGGGGTGTGGTGATGGAGGCTTGGAAAGAGCACTGGCCTCGGAGTCAGAAGATGTGCCTGAGCCCAGCCCTGCTCCTAACCAAAATATTAGGCCTCAGTTCCCTCATCTATGAAATGGGCATGATCATCCCACTTGCCTCCCGCAGAGTTGTCATGTAAAGTACTTAAAAGCATTTGGCTTCATTAATTGTTTTTGTTTATTTGTTTGTTTGTTTGTTTGAGATGAAGTCTTGCTCTGTCACCCAGGCAGGAGTGCTGTGGTTTAATCTTAGCTCACTGCAACCTCCACCTCCCAAGTTCAAGCGATTCTTATACCTCAGCATACTGAGTAGGTGGGATTACAGGTACCCACCATCTCGCCCGGCTAATTTTTGTATTTTTAGTAGAAACAGGGTTTCACCATGTTGGCCAGGCTGGTCTTGAACTCCTGATCTCAAGTGACCCGCCTGCCTCGGTCTCCCAAAGTGCTGGGATTACAGGTGTGAACCACCGCACCAGCCAGCTTCATTAATTGTTAAGAGCTGGGGCTGGGCACAGTGGCTCACGCCTGTAATCCCAGCACCTTGCGGGGCTGAGGCAGGTGGATCACAAGGTCAGGAGCTCGAGTTCATCTGACCAACGTGGTAAAACCCCATCTCAACTAAAACTACAAAAATTAGCCGGGCGTGGTGGCACATGCCTATAGTCCCAGCTATTCGGGAGGCTGAGGCAGGAGAATTGCTTGAACCTGGGAGGTGGAGGCTGCAGTGAGCAGAGGTCGCACCACTGTGCTCCAGTCTGGGTGATAGAGCAAGACTCTGTCCCAGAAAAAAAAAAAGAGAGCTGGAATAAAAATATAAGGAGCATTCATTATCATCAAAGTCTTGCTTGGAAGCTTAAATGAGTTAACACATGAAAAGCACTAAGAACAGGGTAAGCTCTTGATAAATCTTGGCTGTGACTAGTTTACAAGAGCATCCGTGCCTTTAGTGCAGTTAGAAGACCAGGGGGAGAGGCTTGGGGACAAGACGGAGCCATGGAACCTCAGCAGGAGCGAGGTCTGCTGGGGGCAGTCACCTACAGAGTGGTGTCTAGGGAGCAGGGGCAGGGTAGCAGACTCCCACCTGGTAGTCGGGCTTGGTAAAGTAGTCGAGGCTGGCAATGTGGTCCAGGAAGAGGTGGAACTCTGATGGCATGTGCTTCAGCAGCATCCGGTGCTCATACTTCTCCTTGATCATCCCTACCTGCTCCTAGAGGCAAGAGGCCACGGGGAGATGGAGCCCCAGCTGCCCCCAAACCCCTTCTGCCACTTCGGACCCAGCTGCCCGGGGCTCACCTTGTCCTTGATCTTCCTCCAGGGCAGCTGGCCCACTGCAAACTCCACCAGCATGTAGAATAGGGACCACAGGTCATCGTGGCGGCCCATCTCCTGGAGGTGGGGGGAGGGAGTCACCCGCAGCTCTCAGGTCCTTCCCTGGGAATGGACGGCTGACCCTTCTCTGAGGGGCATCTGTCAGGGAGGCCTGACACCCAGTCCCCTAAGGACAGAACTGGGGTCTCCCCAAGGCCACAGCTCCATATCCAACCCTCCAACACACACAAGAGTCCCACAGCCAAAACTACCGCATGTGCTTCCTCACCCGACAGGGGTCTGTAGTGAGAACAGAGAGGATGGGGTTCCCGAAACAAATGAAGAAGGGGATGCTGAGTCTGCCACAGAGGGGCCTTCCTCCAACCCAGGATCTCTGGGGTGGCAGAGTGCAGCCCCTGCCCCACTCTCCTCTCCCCACCCCTCCCCAGCAGCACACTGCACCCTGACCTTGCCCCTCCCACCTCCACATCCCGCAGCCCCGTCTTTGCCACTCACCCGGTTCTTGTGGGCATTGACCGAGGCATAGCGAACAGTTCCTCGAAACCCGGCCACATTCCGAGGCTGCAGAAGGGACACCAAGAACGTCACCCACTATGCCCTCATCTCAGCCACCTCTCAACCCTGCCACCAAGTCTAACTCTTCACCCTGACCACCTCCCCTGGCTGAGGAGGCGGGCTTGCTCTCTGACCTTCCAGTCCTAAACCCGCCTGCTGCCCCTGCTCCCTGCCCAGAGGGGGCAGGAAAATCACAAGGTATGGATGTGGCATCCCCCAAGAGTACAGGCTAACAGAGAGAGGGGACAGGCCAAGTGTGGACCCAGAGCTGGGTGGTGCTGACACTGAACACAAGGCCAGGCCAGCTTAGGCAGGCGCAAGAAAAGTGGGTGAAGGGTCCCCAGATCTGGGAGTAAGGGGGAGTCCTCCACTGTCCTCCCCGCCCCGACGGTACTCACGGGCCGCACATCCCCCGTGGTGTTGGTGTACTGCCGGGCCAGCCCGAAGTCCAGCATATAGCACTTCCTGTAGGTGGAGGGCAGCCTGCCCATGGCAAAGTTTGACTAGGGGAGACAGCAGCTGTGAGCCCTGGGGGCCCCAACCCCAGCTGGGCAACCTCAAGGGGCACCAAGAAACAGCTCTGCAGCTGGTGAAGGGCCTTCAGCCCCACATTCACACGCCCACAAGGAAACGTCAGTATTCACATGTGTGCACCAGGTCACAGCCTCTCATCTGAGGGTTGGGGGTGATCATCCCCATTATAGAGATCAGGAAACTGAAGGTCAAAGGGCTTGGGGAGCATCTCTGAGATCACACAGCAAGTGGTGACTCAACCAAGTCTGTCCAGCTCCACATTTTTGGGACTCCCCAGCAGGGCAGTGTGATTTGGTGTAACTGGTGTGGCTGCCCAAGGCAGCAGGCCTGCTGGGTGACCTTGCGCCATTCAACTAACCTTTCTGGGCCTCAGTTTTCATCTCTTTAAGTAGATTTTTCCTAGCACAAAGATTCAAGATGCCACAAAATCAGCTACTTGGAACTCCTTGTCAAGTCCCAGCCCCTCAGTCCCCTTCCCTCGATCCCTCCATCCTTTTCCAGCCCCCTTCACCTTCCTAGGTTCCAGGACTCTCAGGTCAGGGGCAAGGGATAAGGAACAGAAGGGAAGAACAGAGGAGAGGCCTGGGCATGGCCGAGGGGCAGGCAGGGGTGCATGCTCCTGGGAAGCAGGGGAGAGGAAGAGATGGGGCCTGGGAAGGAGAGCAGGAGGGGCTTGGGGAGAAGAGTCTGTCCCATCACAAGTCCCAACCAAGGTTCCGGAGGAGAAACCAGGAGGCCCAGGGAGAGATGTGGGGGTGTGTTCTGGAGGAGGGAACAGAGAGGCGTGTTGGGGCAGTGCTCACAGGCTTGATGTCACGATGCAGGAAGCCCACAGAGTGGATGGCCTCGATGGACTCCAAGATCTGCTTGCCCAGCCGCAACGTGGTGCTCAGCGTGAAGGTGCCTCGCGGCTGGCTGCGGCGCAGGTCGGCCAGGTTCCGGCCCTGCATTGGGGTGGAGGTGGGGTGTAGACTCACCCTCAGCCGCCATCCCAGACACCACCATTGTGATACTCTTCCCAGCCACACCCCAAAGGGTCGTGCCCACTCCCCTCTCCCGGGGCCACAGTCTCCCTTCCCTTCCCCTACCCTGGAGTCACAGCCCAAGCTCTTAGAGAGGGGAGGGAGGATGGGCCATGGGGACTCACCTGGAGCTGCATCACTACATAGTTAAACTTCTCGTTCCTGCCACAGCCAATGAACCTGCACACATGGTCCTTCCCTGAGGGGCAAAGACACAGATCTTCCAGCTGTTACTCTTTCTTCCTCACTTCCAACCCTAAGATGGGTTCCTAGTGCACTCTTGATTCCTGGTCCCTCTTGATTCCTGGCCCTGTGAGTGCCTCTCTTGCCTCCTCCCTGGCCCTAGCCTCATCATGTCTCCTAGACTCCAGCTTCATCACTTCTTTGATCACCAACCTGGCCTTCTGCCCCATCACTCTCTTAGACCCCGGTCCCATCTCTCTTAGACTCTGGCTCCATCACCTCCCCCTTAGCTCCTGGCTCCATCCGCTCTTCCCTCTACCACCCCACATCTCCTCCCTCACCCTAGCTTCTGATCTCATCGCCTCTCTTAGCCCCTGCCTTCATCATCTCTTCCCTCCCATTCCCCTGCCCAAGGCCCGAACCTTGCAGCTTCTTCAGCACGGCCACCTCCATCTTGAGGACCTGCTTGGGCTGCTGGGCTGACTCCACCTTGAGGGCCACATTCTCCCTGGTCAGCAGGTCCATGGCCTCGTAGATCTCACCAAAGCCCCCGCCCCCGATCTTTTTCAGCTATGAAGATGAGGGGATAGGGTGTTCAGGGATCAGTCTGAACAGCTCCTCATCCCACCCGCTGCTGAGTTGCATCCTTCATTGGTGGGGAAGGGGGGTATCTTTTTTTTGTCTTTTTTTTTTGAGATGGAGTCTCACTTTGTTGCCCAGTCTGGAGTGCAGTGGTGCAATCTCGGCTCACTGCAACCTCTGCCTCCCGTGTTCAAGCAATTCTCATGCCCAAGTCTCCTGAGAAGCTGGGACCACAGGTGCCTGCCACCACGCCGTCCTAATTTTTTATATTTTCAGTAGAGACAGGGTTTCACCATGTTGGCCAGGCTGGTCTCAAACTCCTGACCTCAGGTGATCCAGCCGCCTTGGCCTCCCAAAGTGCTGGGATTACAGGCATGAGCCACCACGCCCGGCCAGAAGGGGATATCTTTGAAGGGGAGAACCTCATGTCTCTCTTCTTTACCCCACCCCATCAGCACCCCACTCCTCTCCTAGTGCCCTGGGACAGACACCTCAGCTCCTGAGCAACCACACACACACACACACACACACACACACACACACACACAGGGCCAGATGTCAGAGTGGGTAGTAGGAAAGGGTAAAAGACCTGTGACCTCATATAGATATGGAGAAAGCCTAATGTAGGATTCTGAGGGGACCCTGGACTGCCCTTGACCTTTTCTTCTCTAGAAGGACAACAAATATCATGTTCCCCCATCCCCTGTGTAGACTGAGCAACCCCTATCCAGAAGGAAAACCAATTTCAGGACCTCCTATCCTCAGGGCGGATTGATTACCTGGGGAAGCAGGCACTTCCTGGGGTTGGCAGCCCCCTGAGAGTCACAAGAAGGAGAGAGTATTTGGGCAAGGGGATTCAGCAAAGGGTGTTCGTGGCCCATGCTCACTGTGGAAGCTCACATCACTCCCTAGGTCAGATGCCCACAACCAGAATGAGCCTCCTCTCCAGGGCAGGGGGTACTGTGGGAGCGTGGTGGGACCGGGGCCTAGAGGGAATGGAGCAGTGGTCTGACCCTCTTGGCCTCTCACTCCAGCCTCCCAAAGCAGGCATGAGAAAGGCGGGGAGGAGAACCGAAATAAAGTAAAGGAAGAGCTGGCAGGGAGCCGAGCAAAGCTGAGTTCTGGGGAGGGTCTCAAAATCATTTCAGCTCAGAGGCCCGGGGGTCCTGGAGGGTGAGGGATCTGCTGGCAGGCATGGGGAGCAGGGAGAAGGTGCTGATTTCCAAGCTGAGACTGGTTTGGTTTAAGAAAGATGTACATGACCTCAGAGGAGGTCCACTGAAAAAAAAAGAAAGAAGGATGGAGAGCTTGATGCTCACCCCCTCAGGGAGCTGCCTCAATGGGGGCCTGTCCGCTCTGTGCACCTTCCCAAACTCTCATTCTGTCCTGCTGGCTTATAACTCTGATCAACCTGCAGACTCTGGCCGCTCAGCCTCCTGCATCTCTGAACCTGCCCCAAACATCTGTTCAGCCCTCAGATGCCTTGTGATTGTTTAGTGGTGGTTGACACTGAGGAATGGAGGGAGGAAGACCGACTAGGCAGAGCTGGAGGGCTGGGAGTTCCCAGGTTACCACTGAACTCACTCCAGAAAGAGACAGGAGCAGGAAGGAAAGATTTGGAAAAGAAGCAGAATGCTGGGTGGGAACTTCAAGGTGCCTGTGTCTGGGAAGGAGACAGGGAAAGAGGAAGGAGGAAGAACAGTGAGAAACTAGAGTTCCTGTCTCCTGGAGACGAAATTTAAAGGCAGGATTTCAGAGCCAGGAGGGGACAGACAGACTCACGGGAAACAACAGCTTGTCTGCCTCTGGGGTACTTTAAACTCTGGGGAGATGCGAATATCTTCTAGATTCCTTTATGGTTTGCTTGTGCGAGAACAGAGGAAAGGGCAAAGGGGAGGGGACAACCACATATTTTTCTCACAGATGTCATCTCAGTTAATCCCCAAAGGCTCCTGGCAACACAGGTGATGAAGGTCATGTGATTCCCCATTTTGCACAAAAGGAAAACCAAGGCACGGGAAGTGCAATACCTTTTCCCACGTCACACTGCTAGTTAATAGCAAAGGCAGGTCCAAGCGCGGTGGCTCATGCCTGTAATCTCAACACTTTGGGAGGCTGAAGTGGGTGGATCACCTGAGGCCAGGAGTTTGAGCCCAGCCTGGCCAACATGTCAAAACCCCGTCTCTATCTAAAACTACAAAACATTAGCGGGGCGTGGTGGTGGGCACCTGTAATCCTAGCTACCTGGGAAGCTGAGGCAGAAGAATCGCTTGAACCTGGGAGGCGGAGGCTGCAGTGAGCCGAGATCGCACCATTGCACTCCAGCCTGTGCAACAAGAGAGAAACTCCGTCTCAAAAAAAAAAAAAAAAAAAAAAGCAATGCCAAGTTTCATTTAAACCCAGGCAATCAAATGCAGAATCCATAATGTTGCAGAATCCATAATGTTGCAGAATCCATAATGTTACAGAAACTGTGGACCCATCAACATTAAAAGTGTGAGTGCTGAGATTCAAGCCCAGATCTGCCAGGTTCTGAAATCATTGCTAGAGATAAGTCAGGAAGGCTCGGGACAGCCAAGACATTTATGACACCTACTTCCCAATTTCCCAGGGTGCCCTGGGGTATTTCTCTACCACCTTCGTTTCCCAGCAGAGCCTATTTCTCCTTCTTTACTCCCCTCCTTCCCCACCCACCCCCCACCCATTATGGAACTTCCATAAGACAGGGAACTGGGTGTCTTCACCACCCACTCCACCAACATCCCTTCTCCTTTTCACCACAGCTAGGGCAGACTTATACATGAGACACAGTGACTAGGCCCCTGATACCTCTAGGGGGTCCATGAAAATGTTTTAATTTCTTTTAAAATCATAAAGGAGGCCTCATGGTGCCTCATGCCTGCAATCCCAGTTCTTTAGGAGGATGAGGAGGGTGGATTACTTGAGGTCAGGAGTTTGAGACCAGCCTGGCCAACATGGGGAAACCCCATCTCTACTAGAAATACAAAAATTAGCCTGGTGTGGTGGCAGGTGTCTGTAATCCCAAGTACTCAAGAGGCTGAGGCATAAGAATTGCTTGAATCTGGGAGGCAGAGGTTGCAGTGAGCCGAGATCTCATCACTACACTCAAGCCTGGGCGACAGAGTGAGACCCTGTCTCAAAAAAATAAAATAAAATAAAAAATCATCAGGGGAAAAAAATGAACCTTTAGGTCAAAGAGAACAATCTAGTATATAATATTAATATATTCATCTTTATACCAATGCAGTCATAAAATACAATTTTAAGTACTTTCTTATGGAGGAAGGGGCCCAAGAAAGTCACAATGTGGCCTGCCCACAGTCCAGTAATAGGAATATTCTCTCAATCTCCCTTTTCTTCACTCCTGCTAAATTTTACATGATCCCAGGCCCTGCTGAAGGACCTCCCTAAACTAGAGGAGAAATATGACACAATAGAATCAGCATTGGTCCTTGGGAGGAAGGAGACCTGGTTTCTTGGGCAGCTCTGGGTGGCCTGGGGTGAGTTTCATAAACTCTCTGAGCCTCCACTCTTCCTCCTCTGTAAAATGAAGAGAGTTGGACTAGAATTGGTCACAAAGGTTTCTTTGGCTCAGTGGTCCTGATTCTTGGATGGGCTGATTCTTGTCAGACAGACCTAGTCATGGAGACTTGGCAAATTAGCTAAGCAATTTCCTCAGTTTCCACACCTGTGAAATGGGATTAATAAATGGGAATACAAATCTACTTGGTAAGTTCTTGAGACAATGCACATAAGGCATTTTGCACAGTGCCTGAAAACAGTGAATGCTCAAAGCAAATACTAAGTCATTATTACTATTATTGTTTGCTATTCTGATTCTGAGAAGCACCCCTCAAGATGAATAAAATGTTATTATTTTATTTTATGTTTTTAGAGACAGGTTAACCAAGCTGGATTTGAACTCCTGGGCTCAAGCGATCCTCCTGCTTCAGCCTGCCAAGTATTGAGGATTTATTTATTTATTTATTTAGAGGCAGAGTCTCGCTCTGTCGCCCAGGCTGGAGTACAATGGCATGATCTCAGCTCACTGCAACCTCTGCCTCCCAGGTTCAAGTGATTCTCCTGCCTCAGCCTCCCGGGTAGCTGGGATTACAGGCGCCCGCAGCCTGGCCTGCCTAATTTTTGTATTTTTAGTAGAGATGAGGTTTCACCATGTTGGCCAGCCTGGTCTCAAACTCGTGACCGCAAGTGATCCTCCCACCTCGGCCTCCCAAAGTGCTGGGATTACAGGTGTGGGCCACCATGCCTGGTCCCCGTATTTATTTTTAAATGCCACATCTAGTGCCACCGACCCCCATTTTCTCCTGGCCACCGAGACCTATGGGCAGTTTGCCTTGGTTCTTGAGCTCTGCCTCCCACCTCAGTGCCATCCTCACCGGGAACAGGTTGAAGGGAAGCATGTGGCCCCTCACCCTCTCTAACTCTCCAGGGGCGGGGGTCGGCGGTGAGGAGAGGTCGGCATGCTTGCCCTCCCCCCAGCTACCCGCTCCATTTCGCTCCCCACTCATCTTCCATGCCTTCCCTCAGAAATCCAAAAAAGTTCTAGCCTAAACTCACATGTGTGTAAAAACTGTCTTTCCCTCACCACTTCGGTGTAAATGTCATTCTACCTCCAATCCGCCAGAAACTAAGATCGGGTGCCAGAGGCCCCGAGGTCTGGGAGGAACACTCCTCTCTTTGCCAGATCCTCGTTCCTTTTATCACCTCCCTGGCTCTTCCTCCCCCATTTCTGTACTCTCCCTCTCAGGAAGTCCCCCCTCTGGGACAGAAACAGCCCATTTCCTCACCCTTTGAGGACCCCTAGAAGTCTCCTCCTCTTCACCCCTTCCACTCCCAACCCCCAGTCCCAGAGACATCTCTGAAAACGCCGCCACCGCTGCCTCTTTCTAGGCTTCTAGGGGACCTGCACGGCCGATGGCTGTTGCCGTGGAGACCCGCCTGCACCCGGGCCTCACCCTCCTCTCCAACCCCGCACTCCCGTGAGCTGAGCCTCCCCCTACTAAAGCACGCGGGCGCGCACACTCGCAAGCACACACGCACACACACACACGCACATACACACGACTCGGAGTGTACCTGACCTCTGTTGTTCTCCCTCCCCTCCTCCTGGCTTCCCACTCCGGTGCAGTCCCACAGGCTCACACACGGGTTCCCCCACACTGCCGCCCACAGTTCGCCCCACATTATCCTGCTCCCACAATAAGAGGACACCAGAGCGCTATTAAGTGACGGAAAAGGGGGGGGTGATTTACAGTAGGTCTCCCTCCCCAAACGCTATCATTCCCCCAGCCCTCACGCGCCCCCTCCTAGGCAGGCCCGCTTCCCGAGGAGGCTGAGACTACAACTCCCAGCAGGCCCAGCAGCCCGAAGCCCTGGGCTGGAGGAGCAGGGCACGCCGGGAGATGGAGTCTCGCCGTGCTGCACCTGCCGCAGGACCCGGCGAGGGGAGGAGGCTGGATGGAGAAGATGGAGTGCGGGTGCGGCGGGAGCAGCCTTCAGGGCCTCTTTCCCCAAACACAAGCCTTTCCGTCCTCTGCGGAAGCGGAGGGACACATGCTCGTCCACTGTCCTTCTCCAAGGTCCGTCAGAGAAAAAGCTCCCTCCCCCACCGCTCTTCCTCCTCCCCACACTGGCCTCTGCAGCTCCTGCATCCAACCAGGAGTTGTTCCAGGCTTGGCCTGACCAACGTGACCTAGCGGGGAGAGGGGTGATAGAGGGCGGGGCTGGAGAGAGGGCACTGGGAGAAAGCTATTGTCCACATGTGGTGGCAAAAATAATGACCTGCAAGCAGTATGCAAATGAGCTTAGAGGCACCTCCCTCTTAGGGTAGGGGAGCGGAGGGCACTGGTTTTAACAAGTCTTCAGGTCCTCGCCTCCCTCCCCGCTACCCTCCCTCTGCCCCGCCGGGTCACTCACTCACCACCTTCCAGCGATCCTTGACCACGTAGTTGGCCGGCAGGATGTCGGCCTGCTCCCCTCCCCCACTCATGTTGGTTTCGTCCTTAAGGGCTGCCGCTAGGCACTGCATCCGCCAGCCAGAGGGAGGGGTGTCCGCAGGGCCTGCCCTGAGGGGGCCATCTACCTAGGGGAGTGCGGAGGGGCTGTGAGGGCGGGCTGCGGACCCAGGACCACCTGGCAGATAATGGAGGAGAGGAGCTCCACTCCTGCCCCGCATTCTTCCTGGTCCCGCTGGACAGATGCTCCAGGAGTTACCAGAGGAAAGATTGTATAAAGGCCAGTGCAAGGGAGGTACAGACTACGAACTGGAGATGGTTAAAATCAGCAACAGGACACACATGTTGACCAATGAAGAAGAGGAAAATGACAGTGAACAGGCTGAGGGGAAAGAGAGATATGCTAACTGATGCCAGGAAGACTGGCTGACCAACGGAGCATACCAGACTGGGATCCTCTCCCTTGTAGGGGAGGCCTAGGCCTTGGCTCCCCCTTAGGGGAGTCCCTGTGTCACAAAATGTCCATGGAGTTGTGCAACGGAGGCTTAGTGAAAAGGGAAGACCTGCCACCCAAGGGGTGACCCATGGGACACCCACACCAACGTGACCTGCTAATCAGCCCTGAGAGATGTGGTAATCAAGAAAATGAGGGAAGGCACTAAAGCCCCTTGAGGGTGGTGTTAACTGAAGGGAATGCAGGTGCTGAGAGGCACACACCTTTCTCAGGGTGAGCTGAACCCACTGACACAACCATGGGGTTGGGAGGTCAGGATATGAGAGATGAGGTGAACACAAGTGACAGATTCAAGACATGGATGTCAGATGGACAGCAGCCTTGTGGCCACTCCAGAGGGACAGAGGTGGGCTGAATTGGGGAGGGCAGGAAAATGGGAGGGTCCTAGCAGAAAGCAGGAGGAGTGAAAGGGAACAGCAGGTCTGGGTGGGCATGGGGTGAGAGAGCCTCTGACCACACCTTTCTGTGTCTGCTTAGGAATCAACAAGAAAGAACACAGGTCTCCTCGAATTAGGACAGGTAGAAGTTGGATATCAGGGAGAGTTTCCCAATGGCAGGGGTTGGGAGAGCCAGGCACATGTTACCTGAGAAATGCCCATGTATGCGTGTGTGTATGTCTGTATGTGTATCTGTGCATGTATCCTTCTGTGTGTGTATGTGCCTTTGTGTGTCTTTCTTTGTCTATCTTTTCTGTGTGTCTGTCTGCTTTTCTACATGTATCTATGTGTCTGTATGTGCTTGTGTGTGTTTTGTGTCTGTCTGTGTGTGATGTGCATGTGTGTAGGCAAGGGGCCAGAAGACATGACTTTCTGAGATCTCTGCCAACCCAGGACAGAATTTGGAACCAGGATATTTTCCTCTTCTCTTTCCCTCACACTTTTTAGAAGCACACTACTGTGCCCTCACAATGACCCTGGAGAGTCACAAATAGAGAAAGAGGGAAGTTACTTAGGCTGGGGTTTGGGGGTTGTGGGTGGGGAGAGGAAGGTGGCTAAAGAGATCTATAGATGGGGTAGAAACTACATAAACCCCCCTTTCCCAGGGCTCCTGCATCTAGACATCCTACCATAGGTGACAGGATGGGACGTGGAGGTGTGGAAAACACCTTCCAATTCATGATGTGCCACTGTGGACATATGGAGAAGGGATCTTCATGGGGAGGGACGCTGCCACTCCTTTTCTCTTTCTTCAAATGACTAAGCTGAGCTGTTTCCTCCAATCCTTACAACTTCAGAGCATCAGGACTTCCCTCCTTCTGCCAAAGTGGGATATGGGGCATCAGGAATTTGAAGGGCAGTGAGGGCAATGGCAGGATGAAGGGAGAGGTAGGGATGGGGCTTCTGGAAAAAAGGTGGAGACAGGTTGAGGACAAGACTGAAGAAGCAATTGAACTGGTGGGAGGGAGCCTTCAGAAGTTGAACTGGGTGAACTCTGATGGGCTTTCCAGTCCTAGGACAGTGGATCTCTTAGGTTGATAAGGAAAATTTGTGTCCTGCTCCCATTTTATAGATGAGCAAACCAAAAAGAAAGAGATGAGGCAAGAGAAGGAAGAGTAGAGCTGGGAAGGTAAATGAGGGTTACCTGCCTCTCCCTCTCCACTATCCTTCTCTCTGTGTCTGAGGACTACGCTCAGCAGAGACCAGGTTGGTTAATACAAACATGGGACACTTGGTTGCCCCATTACTGCCGCCTCAGGCCCCTATGTGCACATGGGAGCATGGGCGCATGGTGAAGAGGAGGGCTTGTGCAGTTTGTATGAATATCTGTCACAGAGTGCAGGTAGGATCATGTGGGGCCAGTGATGGTACATAGGGGTATGTGGAAGTGGTGGGAGCTCATCATGGCCTGTGGATACAAGTGTTGATGTGTAACTCTGCAAGGTGTCAGCAGGTGTGTGTGGGAATCTGGGAGCCCAGGTAAGGAGAGGTGATGGAGACCAGCAAGAGGTGATGGGGACAGGTGAAAGAGGTGTGGAGGGAGGCAGAGGGGAATGTCAGGGATGAGAAGCAACAGGATTAGAGGAGGGGGTGGGTAGGATAGAGACTGATGAGAGATAATGATGACAGGCAAAGAAGAGATAGGACCATGGGAGGGATTTCTGGGCACAGCTGAGGGGGTGAGGAAGTAGGTAAGAAGACAGGTGGGAGGCATGGAGAGACTGAGGACAGGGAGGGAGGTTATGGAGACAGCCGAATGACTCGTCAGGGGTGACAGGAGAGCCAGGGGTGAAGCCATGGGGACAAGGGACGGAGGTGAATGGGGAGGAGCAAAGTGCCGGGAGGACGGGTTGGGGAGGGAGGTCTATGTGCTGGGGACAGGGAGCGGCTCCAGGCCTCGGTGCGGCCCAGGCGGTGTAGGCCAGCGTCCCA